TCCAGGCAATTGTAACCACAGCAGCATCCCTGAGAATTCCATCAGTTTTCTAGTATAGATGCAGGTGTTGAAGGTATATCCTTGAGAGCAGTAGCCTACCAAGATGCAAGCATGAGAAGCACTGAGACTCCAAATAGAACTTGACAACATACTGAATGAAGTGAAAAATTCAGAGAGAATAGCATCTGATTTTGACAGTGTTTTTATGATCTTTTTCATGTGACTTGGTAGCAGCTTCAATGACTTCAAAAACTCAGAACTGCCATATTGAGTCAATTCTTACCTAGGAATTTGTATGATGAGAAAGTATATACTCATGAGAATAATTTTAGTTTCCTGAGCATAGACATGGTAATTAATTATATACTCCAAGGCAGAAAATACTTTTCCATTAAAATTTGCAATTATATAGAGTAGCTACCATATTCAATGCACTGTGATAGGCTTTGCAGGTGGTACAAAGTTCCCTCACTTCATATATCTGTATTAAGTCATGTATCACCCTGGGGTAGGTTCCTGTGTTACAATGATAAATGGTAAATAAAGAGAGATTTTTCTTAAAAGGGTTTTTGCTAGGAGAGTGATATAGTTTGGATATTTGTCCTCTCCAAATCTCATGTTGAAATTTGATCCCTAGTATTGGAGGTGGAGCTTAGCAGGAGATTTTGGGTCATGGGGGCATTTAGGATTCCTCATGAATGTCTTGGTGCCATAGTCAGGGGATTGAGTGAGTTCTCACTCTTAATTACCATGAGATCTGCTTGTTGAAAAGCATCTTACACTTCGCTCCCCTCTTTCTTGCTTTCTGTCTTCCCATGTGACATACCTGCTCCTTTTGTCTTCTTTCATGATTGTAAGCATTCTGAGGTCTGTACTAGAAGCAGATGCGAGTGCCATCCTTCTTGTACAGGCTGCAGAACCATGAGCCAAATAAACCTCTTTTCTTTGTAAATTACCCTGCCTCTGGTACTCCTTAATAGCAGCACAAAACATTGTAAGACACATAGCTGGGGAGAAAGACAGGCAAACCAAAAATTACAAAAAGAACACATAAAAGAGGCACATTACAAACCCTTGGACAGTCAGGGAAGACTTTCTGAAGCAAGTGCCATTGGTACCAGGGCCAAATATAAGTAGAAGTTTGCCAGAGAAAGCATGCTGTTTGTGAGTGGAGCACTGAAACTTATTCCAGGTAGAAGGAATCACATGTGCAAATAAGAAAGAAAGGTTTGAAAGTGTTTGTCTTATTTGGTTTGGATCACATAGTGTTCTGTTCCATAGGACAATAATCCTATTTATGGGGGCCCACCTGCATAATGTAAGTACCTCCCAAAGGCCCCACTTCCAAATACCATCATTTGGGACTAAGGTTTCAAAATGTGAACTTTGGAGGGCACAATCACCCAGTCCACTGCAGCATGACTTACTCTTTGTGAGCCCCATTTGCCCACTGTTGTTCTTTTAGTAACAATAGCAGCTCCAGCCTACATTTTCCCAGGCTTAGGTCCAGTAGAAAAGGAAGTATACTCGAAGGTTACATGAATGTATTATCTAGATTGACTCTGACTGCCTCTGATTAAGTCACATTCTCATCTGTTAAATTATCACTGTTGTTTGGGTACTGATTGGTCAATCTAGAAAACATCTTCCATCTGGGAGCTGAGGCAATGATGCGCTGATAAACTGGCTCTAAACATAAAAATTTTAAAGAGAACTTATATGTAGGATTTATGGGTTTCTATCATAGAAATACTTGCACCATGGCTGATTTTAATATTTCTGGCTTTTAGAGCTCCTGAATTTTTACAAGTCAGCTCTTGCAAGCCAGTTCTAGCAGCTCCAGTAAACTATCACTTAGCTGGTGGAGCTAACAGAGCAGAAAGTCTGCTGGTGAGGGAGGGAGTGGTAGTCTAAAAGGAAAATATCTATCTATCAGAAGAGGACTGGGTGACTGGTAGACAAAGCCAAGTAAGTTTGCACTGTACCGCTGAAGAATTTTTAAGTGTTCTTATATCATTTCCTTGAATAACATTTTTAAGGACCATATAATATTCCATTCTGTAAAAATGCTGGAGTTTGCCGTATTTTTATTGTTAGATATTTAGGTCAATAGAATGACATATAATGCTTTGCTGGACATGTCAGTGCCTAAAGCCATTTTCCACATTTAGGTCAGATATTTGAGATAGATTGCTTATGAAGAATTACTGGGTCAACGGAATAGACCATTTAATACTTTTGATAAATATTCTCCAATATTTATGTATAAAATAGTTTTACTACTTCATATCATTGTACGATAGCAACTGTTTCCTTGCACTGTCATTAAGTATAATTTTTAAAACATAGGACAGAATTGATATATCATTTTAATTTATAACATTAGCTGCTGTAATAGATAAAACCTAATTCACCATGAGTTAGTGCAATAGAAGTTTATTTCTTGCTCATGTCAGAGTCTTCCCAGTTAGGCATCTTCAATGTGGTCTTTCAGGAACAAAGCCTCATTCTGTTCTATGGCTTTCCTTTCCTCTAGGCCCTTGTAGTCATTCCGTTCAGTGGGAGAATGGCAAAAAGCAATGGAGGACAATATGTAGGAGATTTTCATGGGCAAGTGTAACATTCTATATACTTACATTCCATTGATAAAATTCAATTATATGCCCACAGCTAATTGCAGGGAAGAAAAGAGAAAAGATTTGGTGAACATCTGGCCAGTTTTTATCCAAATACTCATACGTGAGATGGAGAAATCTTTTCATCAAGTCTGATTCTATTCCCTACTTGTACTATTTGAGTATATCTGGAATGAATTACCCATGTTTCTAGGCTATTCAAAGGATTTTAATTTTAATTTTTTTTTTTTTTTGGTGGATGGAGTCTCACTCTGTCACCCAGGCTGGAGTGCAGTGGCACAACCTCAGTTCAAGTGATTCTTGTGCATCAGCCTCCCAAGTAGCTAGAATTACAGGCATGTGCCACCATGCCAGCTAATTTTTTATATTTTTGGTGGGGATGGGGTTTTCTCATGTTGGCCAGGCTGGTCTTGAACTCCTAACCTCATGTGATCCGACTGTCTCAACCTCCCAAAGTGCCGAGATTACAGATGTGATCCACTGTGCCCAGCCATAATATTGGTAAGAGATACATAGCTTTTCCATAGACCGGAGTGCTGGGGAAATGATACCAAATGGTTATTAAATGACGTTTAGTTTAGGCATTGAAGAGAATGAAAGTTGTTGGACAAAGTAGCTTTGCCACATAAACAAGTCTTAGATAGGTAACATTAATTCAATGTGTAAGAAAATTAAATGTACAAGACACTGTATAAAGAATTACAACTGACTAAACCAATGTTTGCTGACTTACTAGAATGATATTTTAATAGAATATTTTAATAAAAAGGCTACCTATGGATTGAAAAGTATTCGCAAACCATATGTAATTATGAGTTAATATCCAAAATTTAGAAATAACTCACAACTCAATATTAGAAAAACAAATAACCCAATTAAAAATGAGCAAAGGGCTGGGTGCCCTGGCTCACACCTGTAATCCTAGCACTTTGGGAAGCCAAGGTGGGTGGATCACCTGAGATCAGGAGTTCAGGAAACAGCCTGGACAATATAGTGAAACCTCATCTCTACTAAAAAAAACCAAAAAAAAACCAAAAAAAAACAAAAAAACGAAATTAGCCGGGCGTGGTGGCGAATGCATATAATCTAAGCTACTCAGTAGGCTGAGACAGGAGAATCATTTGAACCTGTGAGGCAGAGGCAGCAGCTAGCTGAGATCACATCATTGTACTCCAGCCTGGACAACAAGAGCAAAACTTCTTCTCAAAAAAAAAAAAATATATATATATAGACATCTTTCCAAAGAAGATATAAAAACGGCTGACAGGTATGTGAAAAGGTGCTCAACATCACCAATCATTAGGCAAATGCAAGTCAAAACTGCTATATCACCTCAAACCCATTAGGATGGCTGTTATCAAAAAGACAAGAGATAACAGGTATTGGTGAAAATGTAGAAAAAGGGAACACTAGTACACTGTCGGCGAGCATGTGGATTGATACAGTAATTCTGAAAACCAGTATGGATATTTGTAAAGAAATTAAAAACAGCACTACCATATGAGCCAGCAATCCCTCTCTTGGATATATACCCAAAGGAATTTTAGTCAGCATGCCACAGAGATGCCTATACTCTTATGTTCATTGCAGCATTATTCACAATAGCTAACATATGGAAACAACCTTAGTACCCTGTCCCATTGATGGGTGTATATTAGAGCATATATATATATATTATATATGCTCTATATAATATATTTTATATATATATATATAATATATATATATTATATATGCTCTATATAATATATTTTATATATATATATATAATATATATATATTATATATATAATTCATTGTATATTTTCATCACACACACACAGTGGAATACTCTTCAGCCTTAAAAATGATATGCTGCCATTTGATACAACATGGATGAATCTGGAGGACATTATGCTTAGTAAGATAAGTCCTTTCTTTTCTAACAGAAAGAAAAATATTGCATAATCTCAGATGTGTAATCTAAAAATAAGACAAATATGCAAAGATAGAGAACAAAATAGTGGTTTCCAAGGTCAGTGGTGGGGTGGAGGGAAGTGAGGAGTTGTAGCTCAAAGGATACAAAGTAGCAGATGTGTAGAATGAACACATTTAGAGCTCTAATGTACAATGTGAGAACTATAGTTAATAATAGTGTATCGCATTTGGAATTTTGCAAAATGAGTAGATTTTAGCTGTTGTTGCCACACCTGCAAGAAAATGGGTAACTATGTGAGGTGATAGATATATTAATTTGTTTTACTATATCACCATTCTGATATATACATATAATAACATCATGTACACTTTAAATATGTAAAATGAAATGTATTAAAAACACAAACAGGAATATTTTAGCTCTTTTTCTTGTTTCTGCCTACACAGGTGATTAAAGTATACAGTGAAGATGAGACCAGCAGAGCTTTAGATGTACCCAGTGACATAACGGCTCGAGATGTTTGTCAGCTATTGATCCTGAAGAATCATTACATTGATGACCACAGCTGGAACCTTTTTGAGCACCTGCCTCACATAGGTGTAGGTAAGGACACAGAATTATTGTCTCACATCATTGCTTTTCTATTTCCCATTCAGCTCCCTCTTGAACACCAATAATTATTAGATTTGGTCTTTTGAGATAATTTTCTATATCTTACAGGTGATTCAGTTCCTTTTCATTCTTCTTTTTTTTCCTTCTGATCATGTATTTTCGGATAGCCTATGTTTGAACTCATTGATGTTTTCCTCTGTTTGATCCATTCTGCTGTTGAGAGCCTCTAATGCATTTTTCACTTCAGAGAATGTATTTATCACGTTCACAATTTGTTTATTTAAAAAAAATTCAACCTCTTTGTTAAATTCATCTTATAAATATCTAAATTGCTTTTTATTGTTATCTTGGCAATCACTGAATTTCCTTAAAGATGCTATTTTGAATTCTTGGTCAGAGCTCACATATCGCCATCTCCTTAGGGTCATTTACTGGTTCCTGTGTCTGTTTAGGGAGATTGTGGTTCCCTGTTTGCTGTTGTTTTTATGGATGTATGTCTATATCTTTGTATTGAAGGATTATTTGAGACTTCTCTGGCTGGCTTCTTTTGTTTTTTTATTAGATATATTTCTTAGAGGTTTTTACTGTTAAGTCATTGCCTTCTTTTTGGCTCTAGTTGGTGCTTACGCCTACCTTCACCTTGACTTTAGTAAAGGTCAGAGCACTGCACTTTCCAAATGAGAGAGGTCTCAAAGGGGATATTCCAACAGTGTGGGGCAGCTGGCTAGGGGCTCATGCTCAGGGGACCTGTGGGATGAACTTCCTACAGTGTTGTGCTGCTGAACAGTCAGTCTGATTTGGTTTCTCCTTTGGCTGGGTTGCAGAGCAGAGTTTCTGGGGTTGGGGATGGTTGTCCTGCTTCCTTTTTTTTCCCTCTGCCTGTCCTCAGGGATATTTCTCCCCTCAGGAAATCACGATGCTTCCTGTGATTAAGACAGAGACAGATCTCCTACCAGGGAACCCAAGATGGTGGGTAGGTGGTTGTCCACCTTAATCTCGCTTTTTCTGGTATCAACACAGTGAGTTGGGGGAAAGGCTTTCACAAGCTTGTGGGAGGGGCATCGTGGTACATGTGGAAGTTTGATTCTCTTACCTTCTGGAGTTTTTCTTCACTTCTCTGTCGCCCATGGAACTGTGTCATCTTCATTTCTGAGTTCTGGGATACTTCTGGGGAAAATCGCAGTGCTGTTTGTTTGGTTTTGGTTTTCTCTGGGGGAGAGTGAAACCAGTGTGCTTCTTTGTCATTATTTTTCCAGGAAGTCCTGCTTTTCTATTTCTTTTGGTATACATCTCATGGTGAACATTTTCTTCAAAGGCGCAAAAATAGAAAGGTATTATGAATAGTAATTTCTTTATTCTTTTATTTTTGGTTATTTGTAGTCAAGAGACAAAGAAAGTAGCACAAAATGGAAACAAGGATAGAAATTTTATAATTTACCTACGCCTCTTCATTTAAAGAATGATCTATGGGAATTTTAGAGCTAAAACAGATTAAATTGGTGGAAGAATGCATTTCATAATGATCTTATTAGCACAGTGCAAAGTGTTTGAGATGTTAATAAAATAAGCTGTCATTTGAACCACATTTTGAATCAATTGCAGCGCTGACAAGTACAAGTGTCCATGGCAGTGATTCTCTTTATGGGAGTGTAGAACCTAAATTTTTCTTGAAGAAATAAGTAAGCCCTTCACATTTTAAAGACATAAACATAAGGAGTAGCCTTTAAAAACATTTTATTTGGAAATGCATCTCTATTATGAACTGTGGAGCATTTAAAAATTATTTTAGTATGTTGTAAAGAATTTATTCTACTAGTGTATGACAGTATTTGGCAGCAATTTTGTTTCCTGCTTTCTTATTTTTATAGATGTTAGTGTTAAAAACATGTTTACATATAAGTAGATAAGACAGGAAGGAGTTTGTTATGGTGATAACATTCGATTCATTGAACTCTTTGTGAGTTTCTTTTGGTTGCTGTTCCAAATTACCACAAATTTGGCTTAAAGCAACAGAAATTGATTCTCACACTTTTGGAGGCCAGAAGTCTGAAATCTGTATCATTGGGTTGAAATCAAGGTGTCGTCAGGGATGTGTGTCCTCTGGAAGCTCTAATTTCTTGCCTCTTCCAGCTCTGGTGCTGCCAGCATTTGTTGGCTTGTGGCTGCATCACCTAATCTCTGCCCCTGCGGTCACATTGCTTTCTATTCTTCTGCCTGTGTCAAGTCTCCCTCTTTCTCATAAAAGTGGCAACAGTTTGGGCCCACCTAGATAATTCAAGATAATCTCCATTTCAAGATCCTTAATTTAATACTGTCTGCAATTTTTTTTTCCCATGTTACATTCACAGGTTCTGGGAATTAAGATGTGGTTATCTTTTGGGGGCTATAATTCAGCTTGCCACATACTTCTTGCCATTATATGTTTAAAAAGTTTTAGTAAGAAATCATCAAAATTATTTTAAATAATTTATCAGTGACAGCTTTATTAGTTGCTTCAATTTGTTCAGACTTGTGAAAGAATTTTATACATAGTAATTAGAGTCATTTACTTTTCAGTATAACTGCCAATATATAAAATTGTCTCTTTGTTTGATGCATTCAAGAGTTTATGCCTCAGAGCAATGTGCCAATGTAAGGTTCTGTTCAAATGAGAGGTTTGCCTTTCTCTTATGACGTGGAATTCAAAATGATGTTAGCAGAAAAGGTGTGTTTTTAGAAGGATTCACTTTTAAAAGATTTTTGGAAAGTGTTTTTTCTGAACACTACCTGCACTCCCTGAACCATTTAGAAAGTGTTTGTACTTCTGATTTAACAACTGCTGTCCTAGGACATGTCAGAACTTCATGGAGGGGACAGAGTGAGGCCTGTGAAAAGGAAGCTAGAATAGTTCCATGGTCTCCTCAGTGGTAGCTGATGAGCTACAATAGCGCAACTGATTTTGACAGCTCATCCTAGATAGTTATCAACCTGCCAAGAATGCCTGATTCTGAAGCTATGTCATACTGGTCAGTATGACTTGTTGCTTCATCTTCTAGGACAGAAAAGGCTCAACATATATTTTCTTCATTGCCACTTGTGACTAGTTTAAATTCTATTCATGATAATTAATCTCCTAGAAGTATGGTGTTAATTCTCAATAGAGTTCTGACTTATTCCAAACTATTTCATTTAGCACCTAATTAGCATAATATGTTATTACAGTATTTCATATCCTTAATTTGTTCTTTTGGGGGTGACTTAAATTTTTTTGTTGTTATAGTCACTACCATTTATGTCTAACAAGTAGCTTTGCAGTTCAGTAATAAAAATCTACTCTGTAAATCAAGAAGTGGTTTTCAGTGAGAACACTGCAAATTATTTATATTAAGGAATAAAATGTACAGGTCTTTTAATGCAAAAGCTTAAAATGGAAGATTGGGAATTAATTTGATCCACATACTAAATTTAAACCTTTAGTCATCAAATGGTAATGTAAGTTTATTTCTTTATTACTGTATTTTCTGGAAACAGCTGAAATAAAATCAAATATATGACCATATTCTCATGACTTCATCAACCATGCGTTGATGAGAAAGAATTTTATTTCCAGAGCCTTCTTGTGTTTTTTTTTCCTTTTGGGTTTTCACTCAGATTATATGTTTAAACAGGACAATTGAAAACATTAATTCTACCCCAATACTCGTATGCATTAAATAGCTTCCAGTTCTTCACTGATATAACAGGAGAATAATCAGTATTGGGGTACTGTCATCTTCCTCAGCACAAAATGTAAACAGATTTGTCCTCAAAATGCTTTTTGTTTTAGTTTTGCCCTTTTGCATAGCTTATTATAATCTTGCAATATCTATTCAGTCTAATCATGGTATGAAGTAAAATGTTCTATTTAACTTGCACATGTAAAGGAATGGAAAAAACTAGAGTGTTTTTTTTTCTCCTTAAATGTAATATACAGCTATAGATGCTCTTTGCCAACAGAATAAACTAGTGACATCTTTACTGCAAGTCTTCTGTGAGTGCTAATGATGTAAAGAACCAAAGGATGAACTATTTGCCAGAACTTTAGTTATCAGCTAGTCAGCTTTGACTGTTGTTCAAGAAACATTCTTGCACTCTCTTTGTCCAAAATGATGAATTTTCAAGAAATAAAATTCTATTTGGTTTTCTGTTCCTTTGTTAACTCTCTTAAGATAATGTGCTTAGTGAACAGGGAGGCCAGCATCCTTGATGGCTGTAGGAATGTGGCTTTATTTCTTTATGCAGGATATGGTTTCATTCTTTTTTTATGGCTTCATAGTATTTCATGATTTATATGTGCCACTTTTTGTTTGTTTGTTTGTTTGTTTTCTGAGACAGAGTCTCACTCTGTCATCCAGGCTGGAGTGCAATGGCGCGATCTCAGCTCACTACAACCTCCACTTCCTGGGCTCAAGCTATTCATGTGCCTCAGCCTCCAGAGTGGCTGGGATAACAGGAGCATGCCATCACACCCAAGTTTTTGTATTTTTAGTAGAGATGGGGTTTTGCCATGTTGCCCAGGCATACTTCAACTCCTGAGGTTAGGTGATCCACCCTTCTCAGCCTCCCAAATTGCTAGGATTACAGGTGTGAGCACCATGCCTGGCCTATGTGTACTGCATTTCCTTTATCCAGTCCACTGTTAGTGGGCATTTAGGTTGATTCTGTCTTTGCCATTGTGAATAATGCTGTGATGAACCTACGAGTACAGATATCTTTTTATTTATTTTGGATATATACCCAGTAATGGGATTGCTGGATTGAATGGTAGTTCTTTTTTAAGTGTTTTGAGAAATCTCCAAACTGCTTTCCATAGTGACCAAACTAATTTGCATTCCCACCAGCAGTGTATAAGCATTCCCTTTTCTCTGCAGCCTTGTCAATATCTGCTGTTTTTTACTTTTTGATAGTGGCCATTCTGATTGGTGGGAGATGGTATCTCATTGTGGTTTTGATTTGCATTTATCTGATGATTA